GCCCTCCCCACCTAAATTTAGCCTACACACCCGCTAAATTAAGACGCTAGCGAGATACAAGTAGTGTAAACGCTTTAGTAGCGTCTATATATCAATACACTAATAATTCTCACGATAATAGCTTTTGTAGGTGGCTTAATAACCTCATCTTTTTTGTTGTCCGATCTTGGTGGGGTGGCTCGTTGACTGAACTGGCTCGTTGGGTGCGCACGGACTGTACCGCCAACCATCGCAGACGCCGAAAATGTGGAACACCTCTTGGGAAGCTCTCCGTTCAGCCTGCTACAATGAGTGTAACAGCAGAGGCATATGCATCGATAGGTTGTACAGGAGCCTACAATGATACTGAAAGCTACACCCCTTGTTATCCCTTGCCTTTGTAGACTGTAACGCAGCAGGGGGGCTGGCTGAGAAGCGTTTGATTTCTTCCTTGTAGCAGGCACAGGTACTCGCGCCCGTTATAAACGCCAACACCCACGCAACGTAGTGCTGCTTCAAGTTGTCTAATCCCCTATTCTCAAGCTTTATCTGATCGTAGAACATCTGAAGCTCGAGCGTCCCCAAGTTATTCTTTTGTCTGTGTTCGATAGACAGTTCTTGCTCTACCGCGATGAGGCGGATATGTCTTGACACGCGGGTGTGGAATTCGGTACGAAAGGTGGAGAACGTAGGTGTCACCGTACACAAGGGAAAAACCGAACATGTATAGAGATAACAAGCTTTACCTTGCAGCTTACAATAGCTCCTAACAAAAGAGCGTATAAAGACTAATAGTATTGTAGACTTCTAGATTCCTAATTAATATCTACATTAATTTTAATATGCTTTATTGTAGTAGGTAGAAGTACCCTGCTCTAAGAAGATGTTGAGTTTCTCTCTTTGATGTAGTGGTGTGAAGACAGTGATCCACCACTCCAAGGCCTGGCGGATTTGAGTCAGAGTAGCCATCTGCACCTTATCGTGTAGCATTCCCTTTGAAGCTCTCGACATTCCTTCGAGGAAACGGCATACTCTGTCGGTCAATGTTTCGGCCGCGTACATATCGATCTCGTTCTCTTCTTTGTAGAAGACTTCGCAGAAATGTTTGAAGTTTGCTCGATCTCGCTGCCGCTTGTCTACCGTGGATGGAGCACAGTGATCGAAGAACATTGACTCGGTTGAGGGCTTCTGCACGCGCTCGTTGAACTCTGTATCTTGTCGCAGGACCTCCATGGTTTGTTGCATGCGCTTGCTGGCGCCCTTCGCGGGTGGTGGCTTCGGCGCCATATTGGATGTGGCTTCTTTCCTTACTCAAGGATGCTTGTGTGTGGTGATAAGCGGAAAGTGCATATAATGTGAAGGGTGGAGGGCGCAAACGGGCGTGCGATCCCAAGACCGTTCACCTGCAAACACTGCGCAGATACGAAACGAAATCTTCACTCTCGACGCTGAAAATTCTCACACGCGCATATCCCGTCACTCTCGTCAGCTTCTTCAGCCTTGACATGATCACTCACCCGAGTATCTTCACAACTTAGACATCTCAACCCCCTCACTATCACCATAGCTAAGTTCGATATCGAAGCAAAGATGAGCGAGTTCGCCGCTCTCGGATCCAAGGCGAAGATGATTGAGTTGTAAGAATGCATGAATAGAGTGCCAGTCGATGACGAACGTTGCGTGTTTGAGCCACATGGGCCGGTACTCAGATCGGATCTGTCGAGAGACTTGTATCATGGGTATCCCGGTAGCACGTTAGGCCTGATGTTGTAGCTCCTATGTAATCAGTAGGTCACCTAATCTTGCTCTTCTTGACACAGTGGATTCTAGCGCAAGGAATTCCTACCGCTAGTGAAGCAAAATCTGGGGTATATCGAACCGATTCCAATGTTAATTGGTAAGTACATCGTGGTCGATGACAACAATAAGAACAAACCTGTTCCGTACGAGAGCAAAGACCAGGGCCCTTCCCTTCTGTACATTACCCAATGCCGCACTCATGGCAAGATTCCCGCGTGCAAGCACGGCAGGGGTGAGTTCTGGTTTCGTAATTTTGCCGTTGTGTCTTCGCTAACCTAGTCTGTAGGTACCACTTGTAAGACGTGCAAGCTCCGCAAATTCACCTGCTCCTTCTTCATAAAAAGCATCCATAGAGGAAAGCAATCAATGAAAAAGTTTCCAGCCTCACAAAGCATGTTTCTTGTACGAAACGCTGCAATGATCAACGGGCTAGCACAAGATTTAAATTTCTCCTAATCCCGAACCAGCAGCAGTCAGTACCTCAATACCTCTTTCGAGGTTTCGATAGCACTGATTACTGAGCCTTAGATCCGAGCACGTTTGGGATGAAACCTGGGGTGGTTTCCGTACTTTTTACTAGGATAACCAATGTCCTACACATGTCAGCAAAACTCCTCGAAAGTGTTTCTCATGTGGAGTCATTGGTGAGTTCTCGCCACTTCTCGCCGACGTCTATCGGGTGGAGAGTGTATCCACAGCGAGGGCAACCGAGGGATTGATTGGCAGGACACCAGCGACGAGGTCGCAATTCTTCGGTATTGAGACCATCAAGCCAGTCGACAAGCTTATTCAAGCGTGGAGTGGCTTTGTCGGCACTCCCGTCCATCATCAGCCACGACCATCCTTCCGTCTTACTGTCAACACTATTAGTAAAACTCCATTACAAGTCGTTTGCTTGCAGCGTACATGAGAGGTAAGCGCGCTGTTTTCATATGTCTCAGTGGACCCTGGAGCACTTCACACATTCTCGCACTTGATCAGGAGACCACAGAATACTGCGAGGACCTTTAGGCACACTTTTTATTATGCATCTCTGAACTGCAGGTCTTGCGTTCTATATGAACAGTGTAATCAATTCGCATCATTTGATGTCGACGTCGTTCAGACTCCTCCGCCCCAACCCAATATCAGGTACACTACTAGTCCCAGTACTGCATCCCATCCTAACGCTTTGACTGCATACCCGCCATTTCTTAAGGATCCAAAAACACCACCAAATGTGAGATCCTTCCTCATCATTGCGGCATTTGCTACCGCGAAGCCCCCGGATACGGTAATGCACTTGACTACATCTGCGTCCCTCAGGCTCATGGTTGAGGAGTACGGAAGTAACAAAACAGCGCGTGTTACAAGGATTAGTAAGCTGAATATGGAGTTGGATCGCAGAGCCGGAAGAGCGAGTAGAGCCGCATTGAGGAGAATGTTCGGAATTTGCAGTGTTGCTATCGGTTTGCGACGCTTAGGCGCTGGATCGGTTTTAGTCGCGTCGCTTGCAGCTGATGTGGGAGCTATATCCGGAGATGAGAGATGCAGCTGGATGAGGAAAAGTGAGACCGCGAAGGAGATGGGTAGGATCTGCCCGAGTAAGATGTACGTGCGCATCCTTGCAGTATCGTATCGGCGCGCTCTTGCTATATATAAGTTAGTATACCCCAATCTATGTGACTTGTGAATAGCATACCCTTCTGCCCCATGTATATGTTCCAGAACCATGTCGCTAAGATCGCGGCCTGAGTCCATACCGCGTTCGGCGCGTCTTTGACCAGATCCTGCGCAAAATCTTGGAATAGGGTGGACTCCAACATCCACCTCTTTAATCTTTCCACGCTGAGATTACTGAGGCTGCGGCTCTTGTCCCCATTCCATTCCAAGTAATGGGTAACCAGGAACATGAGCATGTGGTAGGATAACGTTGCGAAACTTATGGAAGCGACAAACGCGTAGATCTTAATGTGACGCGCTCGCGCCGCCTTCGCTGCATCGAGTTTTTCATTGTCTGCCGTGCTGGACGTGCGAAATGTAAATGTATATTGGGAGTATAGCGAGTAGGTAATCGTAATGGTCGCGTAAAGTGCTGCGACAATGTAGGAGAGGAAGATGGTGGTACCAATGTAGCTGTTGGGTGGTGTGGCATAGTATGCCACTGCATCATAACCGGGGATATCCATTTCGGGCGTCGAGATCAATTATAAGATTTTGAACATTAGCAAGGAACATGTGCGATATGCGGGCTGTATATATTGTCTAGCCAGAGAGGTTTCAGAAGTGTGCGATGATGCCTGACGTCATGACACACTGGCTGTCTGAGAAACTGTTTTACAGGCAACAGAAATTCGGCGACGCAGACGTTTCTGCGACTCTCCTCCTCGATCAACCAACGTAAAACCATCGAGGACTGCTTAATCGCCTACGTACAAGCTTTAAGAATCATCGTTGAAGCCGTTCGTCGCACTGCTCACATTCGTGTCACCTTCCAGACTCCAGAGTTCCCAGCCTCGTTAGATCGACTTCTTGCGTCACGACGCAGCGCACAACACCAGCTACACTATTCTACGTGCTATACAACCACTGTCTATATGGATTTGCTACCCAAGAACTATCATGATTGCGGTGCGATAGTTTTGGCATCAGAACTGTTTTGACAACGCGTCGAGAAATTGCTTATGTGCGCATTGCATCACCACCCACTATATCTCTTGAGAAGAGAACTCCGACAGTTCTCGTAGCGCGAATGAATCTGTAGGGGTTGCAATTTTGGATGCAAAGATTGATGACTCGACGCCTTGGTGAAGCGAATAACATGATTCGTAAGTATGCTACAGAACCACGGGCTCGTCAACAGGAAGGTCTTGGTACATGCTACGGCTGGAGTCATCGATGCTCAACACCATAACTCGGGTCCAGGCATCCAGCAGTATCCATAGTGGTGCCAACCCCGCAGTTTGTGACTCATGCGCAACTGCTGTGGGAGTACCAGTGACATCACGTGCTCTTCCAATAGGAGGTCTAGGTTACTATGCAGGTACTTACTTGGGAAGATGCAGCGGGAATTATATCCACAGTTTCTGCCAAGATATATCAGGCAACCACCGACAAGACGAGGTATATCAGGGGCTTGTCGTCCGTTTTCTAGCTGAATCACATCTTCACACTTTTTCGTGTTAACCTATCCGCACCTAGTCTCTGCCAGATCAGACTAGAGTAAAGACACAGCCACAACCATGCCCCCTCGCTACCACTCTTCCCGTCATGTCTGTGGCTGTTATGTATACCATTCCGAGATATCTGAGCGGACTTACCTTCCTCAGGTAAAACTTGATGCTCATACAACGATACTTTCAACGGCCGCCCGCACCGTGCTGACGCAGACATTCGTCAACCGTTCGAGAGAGGCATTGAATGAGATCCGGTTCGTGTCTACCCACAGCTGAGATGCACGCCACTTTGACAAGGCCATCCATTAACATTATACAGATATGCGTTCCCGCTATTCGATGGTGTGAGTGTTGTTGAGTTCTTCTGCCAGATCGGCGAGCGCACCATCTACGGTCTGGTGAAAGAGAAGAACGAAGCCAGGAAGACCTACGAGGAGGCCAAGGAGCGTGGCGAAAGCGCAGCGCTACTTGAGCAACTGCCTGACGCGGCGGATGTTTTCACAACTGCTATCAGCAATATTCCAAACGGTGCATCCGTACAAGTATCCGTCAAGTACGTGCAGGAATTGAAGCACGATGCTGAAGTCGATGGTATTCGTCTCACCATCCCCTCGTCAATCTCGCCCCGTTACGGATACTACCCAGGAAAGCTTCAAGAAACCTCAGCAGAGATTGATTCCAAAGGAATCTCTATAACAGTGGATGTGAACATGGCGCAAGGGATTCCTATCAAGAAAGTCATTTCCCCATCATATCCCATTGAAGTCACCCTCGGATCGTTATCAACCAGTGCTAGCGACGAAGATGCTTCAATTTCGAGGGGCTCTGCCACACTCGCCTTGGGCACCACCGAACTAGAAAAGGACTTTGTCTTGCAGGTGGTTGCGAAAGACGTCGGTATACCTCAGGCGATCCTCGAAACACACCCGACTCTCCCTAATCAGCGCGCATTGATGACGACATTAGTACCCAAATTTAACATCAAGTCGCAAAAGCCCGAAGTTGTGTTCATTGCAGATCGTTCCGGTAGCATGGGAGGCCATATTCCCACTTTGAAGTCGGCGCTCAAAGTGTTCTTGAAGTCAATTCCCATCGGCTGTTCATTCAACATCTGCTCATTTGGAAGCAGTCATTCGTTTCTTTGGCCAGAGAGCCGGATGTATGACCAGGATACACTTACCGAGGCTATCCGACATGTCGAAACGTTTAGGGCAGATTTTGGCGGTACAGAGACTCTGGCTGCGGTCAAGGCCTGTTTTGAAGCTCGCAATACTGGACTTCAAACCGAGCTCATGCTGCTCACCGACGGCGATATATGGTCCCAAGAACAGTTGTTCAACTACGTGTCCAAGAACACGAAAAGTGGCGACGTCCGTGTATTCCCTATTGGAATCGGTAGTGGCGTCTCTAGTGCGCTGATCGAAGGCGTTGCGAGGGCAGGGAGAGGTTTCGCTCAGATGGTTGCCGACAGTGAAAAGCTCGACAGCAAGATCGTCCGGATGCTCAAGGGTGCACTCACGCCTCATATCAAAGACTACCGTCTCGAAGTCAAATACGAAGACGGCAGCGTTGAATCCGTCGCTGACAGCCTCCGTGTGAAACTCAGTATTGCAGAGGAACCAGAAAGCAAAGCTACTGTCTCCGAGGCGAAGCCTATCTCGCTTTACGACCCTGACGTCCAAGAAGAGCATCCTAAGGATGGTGAGCCAAAGAACATCTTCGCAGGTCTACCGGAACTCAAGCGCCCGACCCTTTTGCAAACACCTCATGAGATACCATCATTATTCCCGTTTAACCGTACTTGTGTCTACCTCATCATGTCTCCAGAGTCATCGCACCTGCAACCGAAGAGCGTGGTACTCAGAGGTACCTCACCTCAAGGCCCGCTAGAGCTCGAGATCCCAGTCGAAGTGCGGAAGGACGCCGACCAGATGATTCATCAGCTGGCAGCTCGCAAAGCAACACAAGAACTTGAAGAAGGCCACGGTTGGCTGTCCGAGGCTACTGTTGACGATGCAGGCGTACTGGTCAAAGACAAACATCGCACCCAGTTCCCTCTGCTCCAGAGACGTGAGGCTGTCCGTCTCGGAGTTGAGTATCAGGTTGGCGGCAAACACTGCTCCTTCGTAGCCGTAGAAGCCAACGAGGCGGAGATTGCAGAGAAGCGGAAGAGAGTACTAGAAGCGACGCTGAATCGTGATGACAAGAATAATGACAACGACTGGGAGGTATTAGAAGACGGTAAGTACGCCTTATCACCGAGCTTGATATCGCTGACATCGACGAAGCATCAGACTCCTCAGACGGTGAGCCAGTACAGGGAGGCGCGAAGCAGTTAGCCTCTATCCAAGCATACTCCATGCCCGTCTCTGCGAGTGCAAGCGCACGAACCGGTGGGGTTCGTCGGCAGCTCGCCAGTAAGGCAGCCCGTAAGTCTGCTCCATCTTCGGTCGGTGGGGTCAAAAAGCCTCCACGGAAGAGGCGCTCGACTTCTACGAGAGACCCATGGACCACAAAGAAGCGTAAGCGTACTAACAAGCCTACAGCTTCGTCGGGTGGTTTCACGGCATACGGCGGGTCTCCTTTTGGTGCCCCAGAAGAGTTTAGTGCATGCTCTTCTGCAAGCCAAAGCAGCACTGGGTTTTTTGGCGTAGCCTCTCGTGGTGGAAGAGGTTTGGGTCGAGGCGGTGCAATGCGTCACCGAAAAGTTGCACCTCAAGCTACTAACGGCTGTCATGATTTGAGTCTGGATATGGAAGAGAAGGAAGAGTCAGATGAAGACATGGGTTTTGCCCTTATGGACAGTCCTGTGTCCCCCCAAAGTCCAGGTAAGAAACCACGTAACGGTAGGCAAAATCGTGCTAACAGATCAGCGTACTCGCCAACGTCGCCGTCCTCACCCAACAGCAAAAGGCAAAAAACTGAAGAAGAAACTGGTAAGTGAACGGCTACTCACATTCGCTTTTCTCACATACTAACATTGTCACAGGCACCCTTCTTCAACGCCTCATCGCGCGTCAGTCTTTCGAAGGCTCGTGGGCAGCTATCGACAAGCTTCCCTGCGATGAGATGAAGCTTGATCGCGATGCTGCTAGCAAAGCGATCGCCAAGCTCACTGAGACGAATGCTGACAAGGTCTTGGCTACTGCGACCGTAGTCATGTTCTTAGAGAAAAAGATGCAGGATGAAGAAGAAACTTGGGAGTTGGTTGTTGAGAAAGCGCGCGCCTGGCTTGAGAATGAATTGGCGGAGGATGTTCTCGCCCAGGTATGGCAGTTGGCGGAGGGCATCGTTGGGAAAAACTGAGTGAACCGATATATCTTGATAATAAGAGAGCCACCCCTGCGGGAGAAGGCACCTGCGCAAAGACTGGAAAGGAAAGAAAGGTATCACGCTTGTGATTGAGAATTCACCGTCGCCCTAGGCACGAGCGAATGATATGTGCGCTCGACCGTCAATGGTGTCAGTTTCGCATAGCAATGAGTTAGAATCAATGTCATTCAATAGTCTATAGTCTTTTTGATCGCATCGTAAACCCCTGTGAACGTCAGCAAAAGAGAGCACGCAAACGTCAATACGTTGAGACTTACTGGTAACATCCGGAATGACAAACTGCTCAAACATGAGCCCGGTATGTGTTGCCCACCCTGTCACCCTCTTCACAGGCGCTTCTAGTCTGAGAAAAGCTTTCTCCTGGATTGTAGCAGCAACCTCGGCACCTACACCCGCGTTCATCATGCTCTCGTGCACTACAATTGCTCTTCCAGTCTTCTTCACGCTTTCTAGGACCGTCTCTCGGTCCCAGGGGTATATCGTCCGGAGATCTATCAGCTCAACACTGCACCCGAAATCCTTCTCTGCAGCTGCTATCGCCGCTGAGCATGTGTATAGGGGTGTGCCGTATGAGACTATTGTCACATCCTTGCCCGTCTTGAGGACTTCAGCCTTGTCTAGTGGAAGGTAGAATGCGTCGACAGGGACGTGCTCAACGGCAGCACGATATAATATCTTGGGTTCCATGAACACGACAGGGTCCTGGCAACGTATCGCAGAAAGGAGGAGTCCTTTGGCTTGAACGGGCGAGCGGGGTATTATGACGCGTAGACCGGGCGTGTGGGTGAAGAGGGCCTCTGGAGATTGCGTGTGGTAGCTAATGAAGTGTCAGTAGATCTCCACATGGAGGTTTTGGTGTCTTACAGAGCGCCATGTCCGACACTGCCTGATGGCATGCGGATGACTAGCCCTCCACAGTTCACGCCAGTGCTCCCCGACCGGTATCTGTACTTGGCCGCCTCATTGTGTATTTGGTCAAACGCCGGGAAGACATAGTCTGCGAATTGAACTTCCGCTACAGGCTTCATGCCCTCTGCAGCTGCTCCAATAGCAAATCCCACAAGCCCCTGCTCGCTCAAGGGAGTGTTGAAGACGCGTTCTGTGCCAAAGTCTCCGGCCAGATTCATGGTACACCGGAAAACACCTCCAAACTGCACGTCTTCTCCAAACACCATGACGCGTTCGTCGGTTTGCAAGGCATATCGTAGGGCTTCATTGATGGCGGTGTAGAGGTTTATACGCTTTGTTTGGCCCTTTTGTATCTCTGCAGGAAACTCGGGGTTGGAGAGGGACGATTTGGCGGTGTGGTGGAGGATAGGCGTTGTATCGTACTCTACTGTACCATTGAGGCGTGCACCAGGTGCTGCAGCCGAGTATTGTTTGCGTTGGAGATGGTGTTGACAGCGGGGTCGAAGTGGTGCTTGTGGGCGTAGTAAATAGCGCGACAATGCGCGGATTGAAGGGGTTCTAGCGGCCATGTCTACAGAAATGAAAGCAACAAGTTCGTCCAGAACTCGCGAAAAGATACATGCAATAAGGACATGCTGGGCACAAACATGTGAGCCGACGGTTGTGCGGTTGTATGTCGCGGCTACCTACGGCTCTCCAGGTTTCAACGTTGCGGAGTTAAGCGCGCATGCGCCCGGAGAAGAAGGTGCCAGCCAGCACGTGATTGAGGTCCTGCCAAGTCCAGAGCTGCTGCACAATGACGATGGGCGCCATGATGGTTCCCACGGCAGGTGGAGACTAGCGTACGCATCTTTCGATATTTTGTGGCTGACCCCTTTCATCATTGCTGGCGTTTGAGGCGCAGGATATCATGCATGCAGTTTATATGAGCAGCGTTACCCAACAGGGCCAGGTACATGACTGTGGGAAGCACGGCACAGTGTTTGTGCTTGGCGGCTTGTTGTGAGACTGGGGAAAGCAATTAGAGACTAGTACGATGAAGCTCGAACCGGGGTTTATTGATGCCGGCCCCTTCGAGCACACCGAGGACGCGCACGCATTCTGTGTCGAGGCAGATGTCGTTGAGTGATGCGATGGCAGAGTGCTGATTCACCCGGGTACACGGCCTGTGACGAAAGAGTAGAGGACTGGCGCATCCATAATACGCGCGCCTTTGTCCACTTTGAGGCTGCATCTTACGTCTAGATGCACTGACCGTGCGCAGACCCACCAAACCGCTGCTTCCGCATCATTATTTGCGCGCCCACCACAGACCTTGGATTCCACCTCCTTCGCCTAATCCATCTCCTCTATACGGAGACTTTCTTCATCTTTCCGCACTCGGGTGCCTGCCCTGGCCATGAGCGCCTCTCCTTCTCGCGCTGCCGCCAATGGCTCTTCGCTGCGCATTGCTCGACTCGCCTTCCTCGGCCTCTTCCACGCCTTCGCGCCCGTCGTGAGCGCGTTGCCCATGCCTTTTGGTGATGTGGTGAAGGCATTCAAGGACGCCGATGAGGATCTCCCCAAGGACTCCAGCGACCCGCAGCTCTGGCTCTATCTGGGTATTGCTATCGCACTTGTTTTGGCCGGTGGTGTGTTTGCGGGTCTGACCATTGCGTGAGTACATCACGGTTCCGCCATTGTGCCACAACGCGCTAACAGCTACCTTCCAGCTTAATGGGCCAAGACGAGATCTATCTCCAGGTCCTTGCTTCCTCCGGCGAGAAGCACGAACGCAAGAACGCGAAGAAGGTCCTGAAGCTGCTTGAGCGAGGCAAGCATTGGGTCCTGGTGACGCTACTCCTGAGCAATGTCATCACAAACGAGACGCTTCCCATTGTGCTGGACAGGTCGCTCGGTGGAGGATGGCCTGCCGTCGTCAGCTCTACAGTTCTCATTGGTACGCGCATTCGCTCCCAGCTACTTTGGTCACGTCTAACCAGTCTCAGTCATCTTCGGCGAAGTCGTCCCCCAGTCCATATGTGTGCGCTACGGTCTGCCAATTGGCGCTGCCATGGCACCCATCGTTCTCGCTCTAATGTACGTCATGGGCATAATTGCCTGGCCGACTGCCAAACTCCTCGACTACCTCCTCGGCGAAGACCACGGTACCGTTTACAAGAAGGGCGGATTGAAGACGCTCGTCAGCTTGCATCAGTCGCTCGGACTTGAGCATGAACGTCTGAACGAGGATGAAGTCACCATCATCACCGCTGTGCTGGATCTCAAAGCCAAGGCTGTCGGCAACATCATGACGCCAATGAAGGACGTCTTCACCATGTCGTCTGACACCATTCTGGACGAGAAGATGATGGACAACATCCTGTCTGCTGGTTACTCCCGTATTCCCATCCACACACCCGAGAACGAGAACAATTTCGTCGGTATGCTCCTGGTCAAGATGCTCATCACCTACGACCCAGAGGATGCTCTACGTGTGCGCGATTTCGCTTTGGCTACTCTTCCTGAAACGCGTCCCGAGACGAGCTGCTTGGACATTCTTAACTTCTTCCAAGAGGGCAAGTCCCACATGGTGCTAGTCTCCGAATTCCCAGCTGAGGCCCGCGGCGCCGTGGGTGTCGTCACGCTCGAAGACGTTATCGAAGAATTGATTGGAGAGTAAGTAGTGCAACCTCTCAAACCCCAAATCGCTACTAACAAAACTAGGGAAATCATTGACGAATCCGACGTCTTCATCGATGTTCACAAGGCAATTCGCCGCATGGCTCCCGCTCCTCGTGCCCGCGTTCCCCGAGGCAAGGTCATCACCGATATCTCTCGCAAGCCGTCAGAAGCGCAAGCTGTAGACACCGAAACAGATTCAGAACAGAACGGCAAACCGTCTCTACGCAAGACGTCTTTGCCCGAGATGCCTGAAGGTCACCCCAAGCCCTCCTTCCTGCTCCGTCGCCGCAGCAGCGGCAGCAAGGGAGGCGCTTCCCCGCTTCGCAGTGATGATCCAAGCGTCATGCAACACCTCAAACATCTCGGTCCTTCGAACGTTGCCACCAGGCCCAAACAGACTCGCATCAACACGGTCAAGATCAAGCCTGGCCAGACAACCCTGACACCTGATATTCCCAAGACCATACCAGAAGATGCTCAAGCCCCAACCGAAACAACACAAACCGAGGGTGTGATAACCCAAGATTCTCATGCGCCCGAAGGTGGCATTGGCGAAGGCTTGTTAGCCTCAGCGGGTCGCGAGGCCAGTGACGGCGTTCACAGTGTAGCAGTGGGATATGGTACCATGGCTCCAAGTGGCGATCGCATGTCCTGGAGATCAGGCCGCTCTGGTACACGGGAACATGAAGAAGAGCCTACGTCTCCCAAGGGTGGTGCTAACGAAGACGACGAGAATACTCATCTACTTGTCGATAATCGCAAAAACGAAAACGGCAGTTCAAGAGGACGGTCACACTCCGTTAGTACCATTGCCTCTCTACGCTCTATCCGCTCGCGTTCGAACAGTCCGCTGAAGAAGCGACATACCGCTCGAAGCGGTAGCATCTCTGAGAACGTCGTAGACTTCAACGGTATCAAGAAGGTTGTCTTGGAGACCACAAGTTCTAGTGACTCTGAGGACAAGGCCAATGGTAGCCAAGCCGATGGTAACGATGACCAAAAGCATTCGGAGGCCGAGTCCTCGCATGCAGGAGGCAAAGGTTCGAGCAAAAAGAAGAGGAAGAAGCGAGGCAAGAAGAAGAAGGGCGGTGCTGGAGACAGCAGCGAATCACAGCCTTTGCTCGGTGACAACTAACTTTATCACCCGTAAAGAGCATGTTGTTAACGTGTGCTCTGCAGAGGTCTTGAGCGAAATCGGTGCGAATGCGAGTGCGAAGTTTCTGAGTCATTTCGAGTCTGATAAAACTAATTGACATGCATCGGCGTCTTCTTGTTCGCCTTGAAAGTTCAAATGGGAAACGTATGAGAATGATGGGCATTGTTAGGACAGGATATATCTTCGCGACTGTATTATAAAAAAGGTGCCTTGTTTTTTGGACGATGGGTAGTCGTCTTGCGGGCTTGAAATATATTCGTATAAGCTCATAAACTTGCATTCCGCTTTCCTATGCAACGTTACCAGAACGCTGAAATAAGGATATGTCTTTGGCGTTTCTACATGACTGCGTACCGTGGACACTGGCTTACTCTCCATCCCCAGGAGAAGACAACTGCTGCGGCGGGACACGGGCCTCGTGAACTACAACATTATGCGAACGATTGGTCTACTGTCCCTATCCAGGGAACGCTGTAGTACATGATCACTCAGCCTGGAAAAGGGTTACAACCCTTCGTAGCCAGTGGGCCATACCCAAACATCCGAATTGGTCACATTCGTTTTTCTCTCATCGATTCTTCTCTCGTTGGTTCTCCTCTCATTGTATGCCTGTCTTACCCCTTTATGCCATTCTTTCTGCTGGTGAGTAGCCCACTCTAATACTTCAGTTGGATGTCGACTCCACCACAAGACAACCTCTCGCACTGCGAACGCATTTTCAATGCAAGAATCTCCTCCGCCCTTATTATTCTGGACCTTCATATTGAGGAGTTGATTGCACAGGGCTTTCAGACTCCAGCGTCTCTTAACGCTATATCCAACAGCTTCCGATACCAATATCGCCGAATCTACAACGCGCCAGTGTTCCATTCGAAGCGCAGTAAGATCGCGGTGTAGGTTGTGGCCAACTAGAACGGTGTTGGGACCGATGTTTCTCCAGATCTCAGCCCTCGCCTCTGGCCAGCCTTTTAATATCCTTCCTGTGATGGTGGTCGCAGCTTTGGCTTGCTTCGATAGCCAGTCTTGGTTCGTGTGCCAACCAGCCATTGGCTGGACGGGCTGAACTAACGCGTCGATGATGACTTCGCCAGTGAGGTAGTCGATGGCTGAGATGTGCAAGATCTCTGACTCACTGTAGTGTTTGTCCACCACGTCGCAGTTGATCGCGATTGCAGCGCGCTCTGGAAGATAGGGAAACCTTGGGGGAGTTGGTAATGCATAGTGCATAAGAATATTTGCGTCTTTGACGATGTTTGTATGGTAGATGTGGAGTATGTATCGAGAATGGCAGAATGCCATGAGTGCGATGAACACTTCGTTATGAAGTTCTTGCGGAATGACTGTCTTCTTGTGGGCTGGCTGGGGGTCAAATGATTGCACTTTTGACCTTATAGTCACTCGCTTTCCTGGTGTGGTTCCGCATGTAGCACGCTCTCCACCAAAAATGACTGACGTTGGAATTCGTAGTGACCTCGGCGATTCTTGGACTGCTAGATTTTGAGGTGTGCTTATGTGCAGTGAAGATTCAAAGTGTGCAGCAAGAGAATCCAAAGTCCTGGATGTCTTCCCCACTACCACTGGGGTTAAAAATTCGACATTTGTCGCTGGAATTGTGCCTGGGGCATTGGAAATGTTCAGTTGCATCTTGCTTGGTTCAACTTGAGGCGACAATTCCTTATTGGCTTTGCTGAGCTGCTGTATTGTTTTGCTTTGCTTGTTGACGTGAATCGCTGAATCCAAATGCTGTTTGAGTGCTTCCTGGCCTGGGAAAGTCCTTCTGCAACTCCCGAATGTACAAGGTATGGCGTGTTTGGAGCGTCGATGAGCCGCCAGGACGGTACCGTTATCGAATGACAGGGTGCACTGATCACAGGGTAAAGCCACCGCGCTTGTGGTAGAGCTTTTGTTTGCTGACATTGTGGGCTGATTTATCGATAGTAAGCAGATGGCAGTTTATGAACTCTTACTTTTGAGAGTGATCGAGCTTTCTGTGGCATGTGCTGGCAGATTTGTCAGTTAGTAATACTTCCCCACGCCTTCATGCTGTGTAACGATAGACGACGCGCATCCTACCCCGCCCACCCAGTACTTGCCACATCGAGCTGTACAGAACTCATGATATATTTTGCTCGAGATTGTATGATCTAGACATTAACGTAGGTTATATTTCGCGTCTGTGGACAATGCCCACCAATCCGGAAGGAAACAGGAGTCTTGTGAACGAGTGATGCGGCTCTGCTCATACTGCTGCCGTGGCACTGCATATAATGGTCATCCGAGTCATCTGTACCCAGAAGTTGGCGATGTCTGGAAAATTCCTAGGCATCGATGTAAATCCAGCTTGGTACACTTGCATCCTGCCTGAATGGAAGGGGCCGCCGTGACGCACTTTAGACATCATACCGGATGAGGAAGGGTTCCAAGACGAACAGGTCGGTGCGCGTCCGCGTTGATTACGCCTCGTCAACTGTTTGAATTTATTCATCAACACCATCGTCTTTGGCTGAAAGAAGTTCTTACCAACACAGCTACAAAGTATCCCTCTATCCTGGTTGTCGATGGAAATGAGATCGTTGTATCTTACCCCGCATGTCTGTCGTCAGCTCGAAGCCCCGCGTAAGGCGGGCAAGTGTGCAACAAGGCGCCCTACATCAGAGCGATCCATACCCAAATCTTGCAATGGCAAGACGCCACCGGTGATATCTCAGCAATTGCTAAGTCTTTAGAGAGTATTCATGTCAATCAGCAGGGATATCGTGGGTGTCCTGAAGTTGAGGTTTTGCTTATCGTATCTATATAGAGTGCGACTTCCCCTTCGAATCTCGTGCTATATTGCAAGCCTATGTTACGCGAGTATGCTCTCCATAACGCCTCTATCTCTATCTGTTTTCATTGCATACGTCGGCTACATTACGATTTACAGAATCTTCTTCCATCCCTTACGCAGCGTCCCCGGTCCGTTCCTGGCACGCTTTAGCAAATTATGGCTTGTCTGGCATGTTCGAAAAGGCAAATCGCACATCCAATTCCCTGAATTGCACGCCCAGTTTGGACCTATAGTACGCATTGCACCCAATCAAGTCCTAGTATGCGAGGAAGATGCTGTCAAAACTGTTTATGGAGCGGGAACATCATTTACGAAGGGAGATTGGTATCAGATGTGTGCCGCACCGGACAAGAACTGGAAGCCCGTTGATGAAGTCCTCGATCTGTTAACGGAAACGAATATGGAGAAGTATCGCAGGCAAAGAAGAGCCATCGGCCCAGCTTACAGTATCACGGGGCTAGAGAAGCATGAAGAGCTGCTTGATGCTTACATCGATAAATTCGTTGCCAAATTAGAAGATCTGAGGGGGAAAGAGGTGGGCCTGGCAAATTGGGGACACATCTTCGCCTTGGACTCTATGAGCCAATTTACTCTAGGAAAGAGCCCTGGGTACACGGACAAAGGCAGTGACGATGGAAACGAGGACGCCAGCCATGCGCTTTGGCAATGCTTTACAGTCATTGGTCTCTTTCCCGGGTTCGTGAAGCTGATGCACAGCATACCGAAAGTTGGCATGTTGCTTGTCCTGCCAATGTCGCTACTCCTAGGCATCAGAATCCCGAAGATATGGCCCGTGTTCAACTTCTGCAGCCCGAGCATCATGCAAAGACTGAAAACACTAGAGAGCATGAAGGATGTGGAGCTACCCGCCAGCCGCCCTGGTTTTCCCCAAGAGTATGGAAAGGACGTGGGAGTACCGGAGGAGAGAGGAGACAGCATCGAAGAGACAGATATGCTGGCTACTTTGATGCGTCTCCATAACGATAGAGAAGCGCGCTTTCCTCCTTCGTGGGTCCTCTCAATCGCTCTTACCAATTTTGGTGCTGGGCACGACACGCTGATGTTCACGCTTTCTTCGGCCATTTATCATACGTATACGTCGCCGTCAATTCTTGCCCGGTTACGCAAAGACATGGAAAGCCAGGGCGTTACACGGAAAAGCAGATATTCTGAAATCGTCGCCAGAGTACCATTGCTCCTCGCCGTTCTGAGAGAAAGCATGAGGCTCTGGCCTACGATCGGGTGGTATCTTCCTCGCCTCGTACCCGCTACAGGAGTTACGCTGTGCGACACTTATCTTCCTCATGGTACTACTGTGGGAACGAGCCTCTGGACTTCTCACTTCGGCTCCGAAGTCTTCGCAGAGCCCCACAAATTTGATCCGGATAGATGGCTACCCGATGGCACCGAGGAGAGGAGAAGAAAAATTGGTAGAATGGACAGCGTATGGATGGGTTTCGGAGGCGGAAGCAGAAGCTGTCCGGGACAGCATCTTGCGAGGTTTTTCGTCATCAAAGCGCTAGCTAGACTAGTCATGAGCTGTGATGTTGAGGTGAACGGAGAGCCGGAGATTGGGGGCTGGTTTCAGTGCACGTTGACGGGCGTAGGTATCAGTGTCAAGGAGAGGAAGATGAAGTGATGGGCTTTGTAAGTAAGCCAGGCCTGGAAGAAGAGAGCACGGAGAATTTGTAACGCTGAAAAGGGGAAAGTGGAGCAGTGGATGTCTCGCCTTTTCGACTTTGTCATGTTTACTCATCCATCATCTCGCTTGAGAGTGCGCAACTCCAATCCATTGCAAGACGACTGCTTCAGTATGCTCCAGGCTTGGTAGTATGGACCATTTAAACAATAATGTAGTAAAGAGCTTCTACGCGTCGCATGCAGAGTATCTGGTTCTATTTCTAGATTTGCGGCGTGAGATCGATATGCGATTTCCCCAGATCTCGCTTCACTAGCGGCGGGAGTTCCTTGCGCTAGAACCCACCATGCTGGCTGGATGCAAACGTCATGACTATGAACGCCGCGAATTGGCCGCCAGGACGTCACAGCTGTCATAGCTCCATTTTTCTTTTGAGAGAGCTTATGTGAAGAGTGTGATCGAGCCCTTGTCGCTTCAAACATATCATTGCAATTGACCTCCACTTCCAACCTCAAAATCTACAACATTCCGATCTCCCATCAACAACTCTCTACACACAATGGCCAGCCGAACCTTCACACCAATGCTCCGTCAGGCGGTCCGCGTCTCGCAGCGAAATGCTATGGCGGCACCGTGCCGTCGCTTCCTAAACACCGAGACAGCACCGAGCCTCTACACAGCAAAGGCTCACGTTGTTGGCGCACGGACAGGGTATGCTGAACATTACATTCGAATATGGAACATTCTGCTGACACCTTTCCAGACATGTAGACGGCGAGAACCTCAAGGTCGACCTGACAATGGCCAAAGCCCTTGGCGGCTCCGGAGATGCCGGAAAGACCAATCCTGAGGAGCTTTTCGCGGCTGGTTACGGTGCATGCTGTACGTGCCCGCCCTCTACTCGTTTTTAACGAATTTACTGACATCAATCAAGTCCAATCCGCCATGAACGCTGTTGCCCCCTCTGTCGGCGTAAAGATGCCCACCAAGACCGAAGACTCCATCGTCGAATCGACCGTAGAACTTGTCGGTAGCATGAAGGATCTGGACATGGGATTGCGCGTCCAACTCCTCGTCAAGGTACGCGGACTGGCGAAGGAGGACCTGGAGAAGGTTGTGTACAAGGCGAGGCAGGTTTGCCCGTACAGCCGGGCGACCAAGGACAATGTGTACACCACTGTTAGGTGCGAGACCATGTAAAGAACTCATGGCTGCATAGCATTTCATCAAGTCAATATAAAGAATAGATTAATAATCCTTTTCAGAGACGGTTCTCTTGCGCAGTCTCGATAACAGCAGCTAACATGCCTTCCGCAACGTCTTCCCCATCTTCTGCTTCTGTGACCCATGTTACTCGGCCACTCCGCGGACTGCGTACCTCTAGCTCCATCTTCATTTGCTGCACTACGCAGATTACGTCTCCTTCTTTCACTACATCACCCTCGTCAATCAGGACCTCGACGAGCTTCCCAGGGAACGGAATACTGATGTGCGATGGATCAGATGGGTTGCCACGTCTATGATGTGACGTGGCTGCTGAAGCGCTGGCAGACGTTGAGGAGAGGGTTATGGTATATGGTGTTGTTTGAGGGGTGGCCGAGGAAGCACTAGAGGGAGTTGTAAAGAGCAGTTCCGCGCTTAGTGAGGTTGGGAAATCGTTTCGTAGGACGCGTGTTAACTCGAGGTGATGAGGTGGTGGTTTCTCATTTGCTTTGGTCGTGGGGGAAGATATGGCTATGGACCAGGCATCGCCTTTTCGGAAGAGAGTGTTGGCTGTCGAAACCGATGCAGTTGAAGAAGATGTCGTAATGTCTGGGCCAAGAGTGTTAGGATGGGCTTCAGCGATGCGTTGGCTCGATCGAAGCAGTTCCTCCTGTTTGCTTTCTAGCCATTGCGTATCGCATTGACCATTCAGAAAATCCGAGTGTGCGACGATGGCTTTCAGCATGTCAAGATTTGTCTTGACTCCTGCGATACGCGTATCCTCTAGAGCCCTCCGCGCTTTACGGACCACGTCTTTCCACGATGACGCTGTTACAATGACTTTGGCGACTAGACTGTCGAAATCTGCTGATACTACAGCAGGTCGACCACTGATGAGGTGTGTGTCAACCCGAATGCCATTACCTGAAGGGAATTGGAAAGATGTAATTTTGCCAATCGATAAAGACCAGTCGCTCCGAACATTCTCCGCAGTGATGCGCAGTTGGATAGAGTGCGCAGAGGGCGGGACTTCTGGGCTACCTGGAGCTACTGATAGGCCACACTGGGTTAGAGGAGCGCCTTGCGCGAGCAGCAATTGTGCTTTGACGATGTCGGTCATGGAAATGGACTCAGTGATTGTATGCTCGACCTGCAACCGCGGATTGACTTCCAGAAAGTAGTACTCTTTTGTTGCTGGGTTCACGAGGAACTCAAAAGTACCAAGTGAGACGTAGTGTATCTACGCAGAGATTAGCGAAGTAGGTTCGGGGCGGGCCGTGATACTAACATGTCTGGCCATTCTCAACGCATCTTCGATCACCTTGGCAATCAGCTTGCGATCAGACACGACACTTGGTGCCAGCTCAATGATCTTTTGGTATCGTCTCTGAATGCTGCACTCGCGTTCCCAAAGGTGTGTTACAGTCCCACTGCCGTCTCCAATGATCTGAACTTCGATGTGCCGGAAACCATCAACTGCAGCTTTCTCAGCAAATACTTGCTTGGAAGGGCTCTCTTCGACTGCTCTTTTGACCAAAGCAGGTAGCTGGTCTTTACTGCAAATCAGACGGATGCCTCGCCCACCGCCTCCATCCACTGCTTTTACCATGATTGGGAAACCTACCCCTGATGCAAAGCGCTGGACGTCTTCGACATTGTTAGTCGGTTGCCGGAGAGCTGGAGACACAGGGACGTTGCCTGTTCTGGGATTAGCAATCGTACAATCTACATATCTCGTAGGTCCTACATTGTTCTGCAAGCTGCCTCGCTTTGAGCTTATCTCCAGTACTACTCAGGATACCCCATCCGGGACCCACCACTACAGCGCCAGCTTCTTTCCAAACTCTCCTCGAGAAGTCTTCCGACTCTGATAGGAATCCATACCCTGGATGCACGGCATCAATTTTGTAGTGTTCGATGATTTCGATAAGACCATCAATACTCATAAAGGTTGAGGCTGATGGTAACTTGACTGCGTGGTTTGCTCGTACAGCGTGCGAATCGTCACCTGATACGTAGATGGCATACGTCTCAATCTCGAGTTCGCGAGCAGAAGAGACGATGCGCGTTGCTATTTCTCCTCTGCAAGATATGTATTAGCTTAGCTTTCCATGATTCGGAATTGCTACTGACCTATTTGCAACAAGGAGTCGCTTTATGGGTCTCCGCGGTGGCTGTGTCGTGTCCATTCTCCACCTAAGATCCGGACTCTCTAGAAACTATCCAGTGAAGTCGCTCAATGTTACTATTTTGTATGTGAGATGACTCGAAAGGGCGAGTCGGGGGATGACACCGGGCAGAAATAGGCTTTGTGTCGTCAAGGAGGCTTTCTTGACATGAATATTTTACCTGGATGCAACTTGGTAGCAAAAGATTTATCAGGGATCCGATTCGACATGGATAATGACATGTTTGCGGTACAGGCGGGATGCAATGGGTGAAGGTAAACGCGGGGAGCTTGGAGATGCCTCGGTTTACCAGACCTACCCCAACATTCTACCACGACCATTCCAACCTGGACCGAATCATCGCGATGTGACAATTCCACCGTCGCTCCATTTCTGGGGCTTGAAGACACGCTTTTTTACACTCGGTACCTATCGCAATGGCCGGTGACGACCAAAAGGTCGCGCCAAAAGACGCGTCGACGTCATCCGAGACGGCCAAAGACCGACTCGCCCAAGTCAGCTCGCACATCGCCCCGAACACGCCGAAGCGACGAAGACGCAAAGCCGCAGACTCAGATGCACCTGCAGATTACTCCGACATTCTCGGACAGATTGCGACACTCCGCAAGATCGCTGCGACGCCAGATACAAATAACAGGGGCTACCTGAGGCAGAAGCAGGCGGGAAAGCTATGGGTGCGGGAGAGGGTGGAACAGCTGCTTGACCCTGGCAGCTTTCAAGAAGTAGGCAGTGTGAGCGGGACAGTCAAATGGAAGCAACTCGGGCCAGTGAAAGAAGAACCAGAAGAATATGTGCCCTCGAACAACGTGCAAGGTATGGTCATAGAGATGATACTAAGAAAATGTATTCACAATTGGCAGGCTTCGGGCGACTACGAGGTCGAAAGATTGTATTCACGGCTGATGACTTTTCCATTCGCGCCGGACATGCTGATGGCGCCCTTATGGAGAAAACAGTAAGCTGGTTGTAACACAGCTAAGATACCACTACTAACGACTGTAGATATACATGGAAAAACTTGCTATTGCGCTGAAGCTACCCATTGTTAAACTTGTCGACGGCTCGTCAGGCGGCGGCTCCGTCACCACCATCCGCTCTACCGGCTTCTCCTACGTCCCTCCGCTACCTTCCTTCGCACAAGTGGTACAACAACTCAACATGGGTATACCGAACCTAAGCGCGGTGGTTGGACCGGCCATCGGCTTAGGAGCGGCTCGCGTGGTTGCCTGTCACTTTTCTGTCATGGCCGCCGACATTGGCTCCTTGTTCAACGCTGGCCCTAGTGTGGTGAAGAATGCGACATTCGAGGAGGGCCTGTCGTTCACAGATCTTGGTGGGCCAGCAATGCATTGTACCAACGGAACTATCGATAATCTGGCACCGGATGAGGCAGGCTGCTTCGAACAGATACGAACAGTTTTGGGCTACTTACCTGATTGCGGTACGAAGCTGCCTCCAGTAATTGACTGCTCTGATCCAGTCGACCGAATGTCGGAAACCCTCCGATCCATCATTCCGCGTTCTAAGAATCGCATGTATAACCCGCGCGCTATCATAACCGAAGTCGTGGACCAAGATTCATTCTTTGAGATCGGCGCGCTTTGGGGTACCACAGCCATTGTTGGCCTGGCACGGTTTGCAGGCAAGCCAGTCGGGATCGTGTCTCTAAACTGCGAACAGAATGCTGGCGCGCTGGATGCGTTGGGGTCGCAGAAGATCACGCGCATGCTGAAGTTCCTGGACGTCTTCAACCTTCCACTCATTCAATTCGTCGACGTCCCAGGTTACGCAATAGGAACCGTAGCAGAGCGCACTGCAACCATGCGGCACGGTGTCACTCTTGCTGCAACCTATTACAGCACAACCATGCCCATCTTCAACGTCATCGTACGCCGTGTCTACGGTGTAGCAGGAGGCATCATGCTAGACTGCCGCGACCCTCGCATGCGCGTTGCTTGGCCATCGGGCGTGTGGGGCTCCTTGCCACTCGAGGGCGGCATTGAAGTCGGGCACTCGTTCGAACTCAAGGAGATTGAAAGAAAAGAAGGTAAAGAGGCGCGGGACAAGCGTTATACAGAATTAGAGAACGAGTACAAACGATTGATGAATCCAGTCCGCACAGCGAATGCGTTCGGTATCGAGGAGATTATAGACCCGGCATATACGCGACGAGTTTGCTGTGAGTGGACAAGTCATATGTACGAGAGCTTACTGCCAGAGCGGATTCAGGAGCGGATCGCAGGGAAGTTGCAGCCTTCCTTCGCTTAGGCAATCGGATGTGTCTTCGAATCCAAGTGCTTCTAGAGCCGATTTCTCAATGCATACAGTTCGGTCTTCAATCCATACCATCACCTGTTCAGACACCGGTTTCTTCCACACCGAGATTGTGCAATTATAGGATAGGGGACACGTTTTCTGGTACTCGTTACTCCTACCTCAAGTATGTTGTCAGACCACGGCTTACCTACACCGCACTTCACTCCATTAAACCTATTGCACACGCGACATTCAGCCCCACCGCGGTCCGTTTTCCAGCGGCGCGGCAACTTCTACTCTATTGGTACCAATGTCGCGGTACCGAGACTTTGCTCGGTGAAGTCGCGCCAGGCTGACCATTTAGGGCATCGCTGAACACGGTAAATCAGGCTGCTACTGGTAATATACCCCCCTTGGCATAATATCAAGTCGAAAATACCCAATTAGGCAAGGTGGCTACCATGCCGATGTTTAGATGCGTCTCTCGACATCACAAGCATCTGGAAGCTCCTAACGTCCTATTATATTGAGCATACATCACGCAGCCGAATGCTTCATCTTACCATTACGCAGATGCGAAGTAGCAAAACACATTTAGACGTGTGTGGCGTACAAACTTTATGGCTGTATCACCATGTTGTGAGCGAGTCTTGATTCGTCAAGGGTGGACGTCTTATATTACCACCAACATATGCGGGGCAAAGATCAATGCGACCATACCCTGTCGCCTTGCCACAGCCCGCTCGTTTGCATCGTCTCACTTGCATCCAATCTGATGATACGAATTATGATGCGCGGCACGAACCTGGGGTATATAGAACTAACGGGCACGCCCGCACGTCCCGGACGCCCATCAGTGCTAGCCGCCACAGCTTCGTCGATCTCGAATTAGCGACGATATTACACTGTACCACTGATCTCGGCTCAGATTTGAAGAGCGAAACCAGGGATGGCGCCTGTCGGCGCTGCCGCCGCTGCGAGGCAGGCAGAACCAGTATTGACGCGCATCGTTGAAGAGGACCAGATACCGTGGCATAAGAGAAACTTGCGGAGGCTGTATGCGCTCTTGTTGCCGACGTGTATTGGGATTGAGATGACGTCTGGCTTTGATTCGCAGATGATCAACGCGGTGCAGATTGCACCGACATGGCAGATATGTGAGTTCTGATCACAACTACGGGCCTGCCCTTGCTAACGACCTAGACTTCAACGAACCACGAGGAGTGCTTCTCGGTATCATTTCCTCAGCATACAACCTAGGTGCGCTCTGCGCTCTACCACTTGTGCCCTACGTGAACGATAGATTTGGGCGACGATGGGCAATCTTCCTAGGCTCCTGGATCATGGTTGTCGGGGCGCTAGTTCAAGCTTTCTCAATCAGCGGTAGGGCAGGAAATGAAACAGACGCTCGGAAGTCATGCTAACAGTCATAGCTGGCATGTACATTGGCGCCAGGTTCATCATCGGTTTCGGCATACCATTCTGCATCATCGCTGGCTCGTCTTTGATGGGTGAGCTTGCGTATCCAAAGGAGCGGCCGATCATGACTTCTCTCTTCAATGCACTCTGGTTCGTAGGTTCGCTCATAGCAGCAGGAGTATCGTATGGCACTCAAAGTCTCAATGATGACTGGGCCTGGCGCATACCATCGCTTCTTCAGGCCGCTCCGTCATTACTCCAGATCGTATTCATCTTGTAATGACCCCCTTTCGCTCACCTGTCATTTTTCAACTCTGCTAACAGCCCCAGCATGATACCCGAATCACCCCGCTTCCTCATCTCTAAAGACCGTCGTGAAGAAGCCTACCGCACGCTGGTCACCTACCATGCAGAAGGCGACAGCTCTTCGCACTTTGCCGCTGCCGAAATGGCGCAAATCGAACACACAATTCGCATCGAACTTGAGCATTCGAAGCGCTCCTGGCGCGAGATGATCGCCGTTCCCGGTCTACGCAAGCGGGTCATTATTGGTTCTTTCCTGGGTCTCTTCACCCAATGGTCCGGCAATACCTTGCTGAGCTACTATCTGAACCAACTGCTAATCATGATTGGGTACGACGATCCGGGCTTTGCGGGGAAAGTGAACGTCGGACTCAACAGCTGGAACCTGTTCACTGCAGTGTCCTTTTCGCTATTGGTCCGACGCTTTCCACGCCGAAAGATGTACCTCATCTGCGCGACCAGCTTGTTGTGTTGCTATGTTGCATGGACAGTCGCTGTGCATCGTTACACTGCTACAAAGAACATTGAGCCAGCGAGGTTGACAATAGCGATTATCTTTTTGTATCAGGCATGTTATAATATTAGTTATAATGCACTTACCTACAGTGAGTTTCGACGAGAGAGTGGTGACAGATGGTGATGCTAACCGCGTTGCAGCATTTCTAGTCGAATTGTTCCCTTTTGCGCAACGTACCAAAGGCATCACCATCTTCCAGTTCTTTAGCAGAACAGCAGTCTTTACTACAACCACCCTCAACCCCGTCGGACTGCAACGCATACAAGGGCGCTGGCTTATAATGTACTGCGCTTGCCTAGTATTTGAAATCGTCTTCATTGTATGTGTTCCTCTGCTCATCTAGGCTCCATACTTCCTTCCAAGACGTTTCGTTCACTAACACAACAACTATAGTACTTTATGTTCCCCGAAACCTATGGTCGCACATTGGAAGAACTCGCATTCCTCTTCGAAGATCATGCGCGAGCTGATGAGGCGACGACGCATGTCCAGAAGCAGATGGAATGGTCGGAGAGAAGATGGAGTCGGATAGAGGAGCGGATGAGTTGGGAGATGGATGTCTTGATCCCGACAGTAGCGCAAAGTGGCCGGAGAGAAGAGACAAGGAACGACAGTATACTCCATTCACAAGACGTGATACGACGACATGATATGATGAGATAGACAACGTATCTAGTGAAGCAGTTCAGGACAAACTACACTACAACATTCACGATTGATCATGTTCTTGGAAATCGACCATGTCGACGACTCATCACTCGAGTTCGTAGCTGTGCCTTCGTGCCCGCAGTAAATGTAGCCGTATATTTGCAACACACCCTCGTCTTACCTACCTTGGATGACCTCCTCCATATCCCCGCAATTCATGACGAGCCCTGCCAGGATTATCGTGAAGCGTACGAGATGTGTGTGGACCTTTGCAACCACCCGAATAATAGCTTTAATAATCTATTACTGGAACCGGAGGAGTCTGTTCATGAAGATACTTAAGAGGATCCGGACGAGCAGGCGTTAAACAACATAGACGCGAAGTAGGATGAGCTCGCCTGCAATCTACCCAACCACACTAGTAACAATGTTAACGCTTTCGACATGCTCAGTCGCCGCCCTAAGGACTAAGTTAACTAGAGTAGCTGTGTAGGCACCTAGCCTGATCTAAAAGACAACTAGTGGAAAGTTTATAAAGCTGACTACCCAGTTGTCTCACGCGATGACGGGCCTATCACACCATACGAGAAACTTGAAGTCAAGCAACTACAGTGCCCCCTAAAGGCACGATAGAGTTAATGCCTGCACCAAACTATCGCCGTCCAGAGACCGAGAAGCGCGACCTCGTTCCTGAGATCTCAGATATCAGCTTCTACCCAGTTGGTTGCGCTTTGGGCGGAGATGAAAGAAGGTTCAGCCTGACGGTTACGTATTCGTCGCGGAATGTTCTGTAGGGATCGTTGCGCGCATGAAGAAAGACACACAGAGATATTGATTAACAACTGTAGCCAAAGAGAATCAGGTCTCCAGCAGACCCAAAGGCACATGCTTCACCCTCAAAGTCAGACAAGAAGGCGAGGCGACAACGAGCGTCAGCGAGTTCGTCGCCTCCGCCAGCCGCGCAGCGGCGCCCCCTAGAGAAGATTAGCATGGCCCCTGCACTAAGGATGACACGCTCAATCAAAGAGAAGCTGCCATTTTTTTGCTCTCGATCTGGCGACTGAGACGATGTGATGATAGGGTCTGAAAGGTTCACAGAAAATATTGCTGCCTATAAACGGCTGTGAAGCAATGTCTGCTGCAAACGGTTGATATTTTGGTATGTGAGAAAAGGTCGCTAGACCCTTGCGCAGCAAAAAGAGCGCAAAAAGAAGACTTCCACCCGACTCGAACACGAACTCTGGCACCACAGCAGGGTTAAAGGAGTCAGATCGAAAGAGCAAAAAAATGGTAGCTTCTCTTTGATTGAGCGTGTCATCCTTAGTGCAGGGGCCATGCTAATCTTCTCTGTATCGTTTCAAATTGACCAAATGCCCGAAGGCGAAGATAAGCAAATTTTCGCGATATATCACGACAACGAGCACTAATGGTGCTGTTGGCGCTGTCTGAGGTTCGTGCGCTGTGCACGGCGCAAAATAACTGGGTCGGTGGCGGGTAAGTAATCCGAAACTTGAAAATAGGCTAGCCTGGGACTCCTGATCCGAACAGTCTTTGGGCGATTACCAGGGTCCTGGAATGCTGGCTATCACAGGCGGGCACAGCCCGCCATGATAGCCACAGCTGGAGGAGACATCGTCCGCTCTCACCAAGTAGTAGTATATTGTATGATACCTAGGAGGTGTTCGCCTTCTCTTGTTCCATTTAACACCAGGTACTCAGACTGATGTATTCGGCAGGCTGAGACGAATAGTTTTTCGACAGCAGGTCAGGTACCTACGTAGTTGTCGCTTCGATCAGATCGATTAAAACTGCTAGACATGCAATTAGCAGTTTGCAACGTCGCACAAAACAATCTCGATGTCCGAATCGTCTCTCGAAGTTCTCTAACAATAATTAGTACTTTCTTGTGCATTCTCGGCCCAGGTCGTTCCAGCTGAAGACGCCAGGTCCATATCCTATTGCGTGTGTGCGAAATCAGTATGTTTCACATGCAGTTCGTACAGGGACAGTTCTTGTTAAGCGTGAGAAAAGGTCTCGTACTCTGAATCAGGACGGAATTTAATTTAAGAAGAGCAGAGCCTGCAACAGAACCTGGGTATTGTCGGAGAAGATGCGATGGTGCGAA